AAGCTCGGACGGGTCTTTGCCTCTGATTGGCTGTGGTCCTGTTCACTGCTTTAAGTTGTGTGTGTTTAAAAATTGCAAACAAACTGAGTTCCAGTCATCAATCAAGGCTAGTTAGTCACTGTTCATGCATGGAACCGGCAGCCTCTGGATTAAAGCCTATACATCGTTGTCCACCTGGTTCATCTTGGATTTTACAAACATTACAAGCCCTACTACTGTCATTCCATCCATCCCCACTACTGAGAGTCCATCCCTCAAAAGTAGAAGTAGAAATGCAATTGGATATGGAATTATCAGCTGTGCTGTCATGTAAGTTAATGTATATAGTTTAATCAAATCAAGTCCATACATTGTTAACTGCATTTTATTTTCTTATCACAGACCAACAATGCATATTGCATCGTCTCAGTGGGAAATATATAAATTGTAAAATTCATTGATCATTCAGTGCATCTTTATGTAATAACTTTTCTCTTATTTTTGCAGCCTGCAGTCCAACTGAGATCATCAACCGATACAAGAAGGTGTTGAGGGCATACAATAATGGAATGAAGTTGGGGGAAGCGTGTGCACATGCTGGTGTGACAGAGTTTACGGTTAGGTCCAAAGCGGCAATCCCAGAGCTTGCCATAACTTCCCCAGAGAAATTTCAAGAAATACTGGCAGGATACACCAACAGGGATAAGATAGCTGACTTTGTCAGCAGATGTGAAGACATCATTCAAAATGATGCAGAAGTCAAGGCCAGTGTAGTTAAAAACAAAGCGGTGGGTAAGCTGATACCATACAACAAGAGGGAACAGAAATAATTGTCTGGTGTGATCATGTACTGTTATGCAAAAAGGGCCATGCAATGTATAGTGGAATGAGCCACTGTTTATCATAACAGAATATAATTAATATATTTCTGCTCTTAGGCCATTGTTTAAAGGAACTGTTAATATTGTTCTGGCAAGAATAATTAATTGTTTGCGAGCAGTATTTTTTATTTATTTTATTTATCACATGCAGGGATACAACGTTTTTCCAAGTACCTCAATGTTCTTTTAAGATGTTATCTTGTAATAAAGATTTTACTACTGATCTGTTCTCATATCCCAAGCTGTTTATTTGTGGTGCAATGCTACTAGTCAACTTTAACTTAAAGGTTCGTAAAATATAACAATTTTGTGTTTTCAGTTTTTGATGCGCAAAAATGTATCTTCTGTAGGTCATCTATGAAACACTTAATGGAGTGCACAAAAAAAGTATACTGTATAATGCTTTTAAAAAAGTAACTATTTTGAACATCAGCTGCAACTTTACAGTCACCGAAATATTTGTTTGTTTTACAAAGCAATTATCCATTTACAAAGTAATATAAACACTAGCTGTAACTTAAGTCATTTACATAATGTTGATGAATGGTTTATAAACCATTTATGAAGCAATTGTTAAAGTTTTATAAACATCAGTTCCAACTTTATAATAACCATCCAAATAATGTTTATAGATGCTCTACACATTATTTATTAACCATTTACAAAGTATTATAAACATCAGCTGCAACTTTACAATAACCATCCAGATAATGATTGTTGATGGTTTATAAACCAATTATTAATCATTGATAAAATATTAATTATCTAGCTAAAAAATATTTATAGATGCTTTACAAAGTATCAGTAAGGGATTATAATCTTCAGTTCCAACTTTATAATAACAATCCAAATAATGTTAATAGACTCTTCATAAAATATTTACAAACCATGAACAAATATCTGGTCCATGTGTCTCTGTAATGTTTATAGATGTTTTATAAACCATCTCTTAAAGGTTTATAAATCATTTGGTCATCATTAACAAACACTTTATAAAGTGTCTGAAATGTTATAATGTGTGCATCAATAAACTGTTAACATAACACAAATTATAGCATTACAAATCATTAGCAAACATTATTAACTATCAAATCATTGTTTGTTAACAGTAAATAACTATTAACTAATGGTTAATTAACTATTCTATTTACCCTTATTTACCCTTCACAGATGATGGTTATTATGAAGTGTTACCCCTACGGAAACTCTCCTTGTGTTTCACAGCAGTGTTAGGTACAGCAGTGTTTAGTTAATCTAATTAAATATATAAACATACATCAGGGTTTACAGTAAAAATCATCATTTGTGGGTGAAGTGTACCAAACCATCACAGTGGATTTAGTATCACAGTGTTTACCAAGTACATGTACCAAGTACAGTAATGAATACATCACTCACCACCTTAAGTTTAATTTAGTGACTTCAAAAGAATAAGTCGTAAATGGTTTTACCTGATTAAACTCCTGATCCTCCCATGAGATTCACTCACAGAAATGTGCTCTGAACCCAAACAAAAACCTGTTTAGTGATTTTCAACTTTGCTATGACAACGTTGCCATAGCGATGACTCTATGACAGGCATTCTTAATCTGCTGATCACTTATGAAGCTGGGGAATGATAACAGTTTGTCAGATCCGGTATATGTTAAGATGATTTGCAACCTGGAGCAGAGAAGTACAACAATACGCTTTTCAAAAGAGCTTCCTATGAGCATGACATCAGAGATAATTAGCCTCCACTTTAAGTACAAAATAAGGTTTCTAACAGAGTGAAAATTTTGTCTGTGTAAATGCTTTGACCTACATCAGAAGTAAACTGGCTTACCACACAATAAGTAATGACCTGTGGGTTCATATTTTTGTCCTGGTTGATATCAGCTGTACAAAAAGTTGTCAATTATCTAATCGCATCGTGGTCGACAACTAATTTACTAAATCATAATCTGTGGCTAAAAATAGTTCAATAAAGACCTTCTGCTTCTACGTTTAGATCTAGATCTTGTTGTCAGTGATTTTTACTTGTCAGCTGAGTCATGTGTCCTTGTATCTGATTAGTAATGTTAGGGAACCCCTCTCCAGCACACACAGTCTATGATTAAAATGTTGAACACTGACATACTGTAAATGTCACCCTATAGCCATAAATGTACACGGCTGCGTGTTAAACCTCATGGACTGTTTGAAGTGTGTGTGTGTGTGTGTGTGTGTGTGTGTGTGTGTGTGTGTGTGTGTGTGTGTGTGTGTGTGTGTGTGTGTGTATGTGTGTGTGTGTAAGCTTGCTGCTGTAAGGATGGATATGGAGGAAGGACAGAAGGAAGGAGGGGAGAGGGAGAGGGAGAGAGAGGGAGGGGAGAAAAAAAGGGGGATGCACGTCATTCTGACACGCAATTGGTGGGAGAGAGGAGGAGGAGGCGGAGGAGCGCGAGAACACTCTTACAATGAAGGGTTTCATGTAGTACTACGACATGGTGCTATGGGCTTGAATTCATTATTTCTTACATAATCAAAAATATCAGTTTATTTTGACCCACTTTACCCACCATACACAAGGTCTTTATATCTTTAACATGGTCTCAGTGTACAAAAGTGAATCTTGCCAAATAAATTAACTTACTCATAGGTATAATTGCAACTCATGAAAAAGAAAGTCAAGACAAGAGTCTGTTTAAAGGGATAATGTGAGGAAAAATGTGTTGCAATATACAAGAGTACAAAAGCCAATAAAAAGACAGGCACAGATTTCACGTTATTTATCAGATTGTAAAAGGTTAACTTGCCATCTGCGTCCGTCACTTTGTTTTGTAGCCAGATGTGACAATATTTGGACCAAAGGGTGGATACCTATGAATGCATCTATCCTGAGTGACAGGTTGCTTTGATAGAAACATTTCCTAAAGGAAAATTCATTTAAATGAAATTAGGAACATCACTAAAAAAATAAACTTGACTCAAACACATTTTTTTTTTTTTACTGAGGATTGAATCAAGTGAGAAGCTAGTTCATTCTCTCATTGATATATACAAGCAGTCTTCGTTTGGTAACCAGTGGCGTTTCCCCCTGTTAGCCATTGGAAATAATGCAGTTTCAATGCTGCATTTGCCTCACTTTTCAAAACCTAGTAATTTTTTTAATTACAGGCTGTTGGAGCGGGATCTTGCATTTGAAAGATTCTACCATTTGATTCCATAAAGATGAACATTTTATGTAGATGGGCTTACACACTCGCATAAATAATCCGTTTATGGTCTCAATGATTGTACATTATCTCACCAATGGTTTTATATGATCGCTGTTTTGATCTTTGTCTGAATAAAAAAACAGATGAATAAGGGATTTTTATTTGACTGTGAATGGTCCTACAAAACCCACAATGCACCTTTAAGGAACCCTTCATTTCCTGTGTGTTCTCAGTGAGCGCGCATCTTGACGGTGAGTGGAGCCCCCATTCTGAAATGAGGGCTGCGCGCTCCCGTCGCAGGAGCAGTGAACGCGCTTGAGGGGCTGCGGTCCCATTGACGGTTCCGTCTCCCTGACAGCAGCATCAGCAGCAGCATCAGCATCAGCATCAGCATCAGCATCAGCGACGGCGCTGCAAAACAAGAAGAGTCCGCCTCGCCCCGCAGACACACGGCCAGCCGGCCATCCGGACCGAGCGGAGACCCGAGCCGCCTTCGGGGGACCCCCACCTCTCTGCCCGGCCTGAAGGAAGACAGCGTGATCCTCCTCCCGTGTCCCAGCATCCCGACCGACCGCCGGAGAGATGGGCTCCCCGTGAAACGGTGGTGGTGGAGGGGAGAGGCGGGCGGGCGGGCGGTGGGAGGGGGGTGGGGGGAGAAGACAGCGGAGCAGCAAGAGGGAGAAGGAGAGGCTGAAAACCGGGAATCGAAGCGCTACCACCACCACCACCACCGTCACCGCTGCGACTACTACTACCGGAGCTAGCCCCGACACTGCTGCTGCCGCCGCCGCCGCCCTGGGTGCCCCCCACCACCGCCATGGGAACTCCACATCAGTCGCTCAAACCGCCGCTTCATCCGTGGGCCATGTCGTGATCCGTGGGCTTCGCCAGCGGGTTTTCTATCCGTGATCCCGACCGAGGCGAAGAGGAGGGAGAGGAGGAAGGAGGAGGAAGAGGGAGAGAAGGTGGTGGTGGTGGGGAAGATGTTCGCCTCGGTGGGCCCTCGGGGCGGCCCGCGCCCACCAGTCGCCCCGGCCATCCCGGAGCCGGACCTGAGCCATCTGACAGAGGATGAGAGGAAGATCATCATGGCTGTGCTGGCTCGGCAGCGGGATGAAGAGGCGAAGGAGGAGGCCATGTTAAAGTAAGAGAGAGGAAGAGGAGAGGGATAGTGTGTGCGTGTGTGCGTGCGTGAGTGTGTGTGTGTGTGTGTGTGTGTGTGTGTGTGTGTGTGCGCGCGTGCGTGCGTGTGTATGTATGTGTGACTGGGCCTGTGCTATTTCCGTTCTGAAGATCCACCTCCATTCTCTCTTATGGTTGAGATGTTTCAGCACTGTATCTGCCCATGCATGCAAGCTTGTGTGTGTGTGTGTGTGTGTGTGTGTGTGCGTGTGTGTGTGTGTGTGTGTGTGTGTGTGTGTGTGTGTGTGTGTGTGTGTGTGTGTCTGTGTCTGTGTGTGTGTATTCTGCAGTTCCATCCGCACAGAACTCACTCACTAACAAACAGGCCCACAAAAGCTACAGATGTGTGCATGCATGGCGGCGCCAGTGTGGACCAGGTTCACCTCTGGTTTGCAGATTCTCGCTGCTCCAACTGTGGGTCAGGAGCTCTGGAAGGAGGAAGACTACAGGGTGATGGAAGGATGAATTGAAGGGGTGTGTCATCCCCATGCCTCAACATCAGCAGAGAATAAAAACTAATCTGTTACCTGAACTTGCCTCCGCAAAATCACCAAAGCCTGAGTTGGACATCAGGACTTTAACTGAAATATTTAAAAGATAGATGCAGCAGAAGTCTGGCTGAAGCCTGGCACTCAGAGTTGCAAAAGTAAAACCCTCCCTGTTGGCTTTTATCTGTGCAGCATCCATCTCAACAGCTGCTGTTCTCCGCTCTGGGGTGCGGTTGAGCCTTTCCCAGCCGTATGCACTGTATGTAGGCCAGTGCTCTTGCAACAGACATCACACGGGCTGTTATAGAACCAGTAGGCCTGTAACAGTGAGGGAAAAGGTGCCTGTGTAATGTCATTTTGAATCAGGAGCTGCATCCACCTCCTCCTCTGTACCACCACAATCCATACATACATGCATGTGTGGAGAAAAGTCTCCTCCTGATTATTTGGCCACTGCAATTGGTGCAGAAAAGAGCCCACATCCTCCTCTTCTACCTCCTCCGGGACCCAGAGTATCTTCATACATTTTCTGCATGGTCTGCATGGAGCAGCATGCATAGATGGGCTGATAGAAAAAGATAGAGCGACCCACCTAAGCGAGGCGCTCCTCAAGCTTTACGTCCCTGTTCTATTTTAAGCCCTCTGTGCGGACTGATAGCCCAGCACTGGAACGGAAGATCGATTCATTGCATCTAAAGAAGGAAATGTCCAATATATAGCTCCAACTCTAAGTGGCTATGGATCATTTTCAGTAATGTATTAGAAGCCGTGGATTCAGTCATGTCATGTGGCTGTTGCAAATAAGGCAGGGCTGTCAGCACATACATGTCTTGTACTATATTGGCCTCAGCAGTGTTTGCTCTCATCACTGTTTGGATGGAGAGCAGTGTGTGTGCGTGTGTGTGTCTGTGCGATTAGGTCTGCACTGAAAAGCTGCACTGGTTGACTAATACATGCATGGTGAGTGTGCTAGCAGTAGGGTAGTGTGGGTTGTAATGCAGAGAGGCAGAGAATACTCCACACTTAGGAGCATTTTTAGGTATACTCACCATCACTCTCCAGGCTCTTAAAGCATACAGGATCACTTGATATGTTGCTGTAAGTTCAAAGCCAGAAAGACTGAGAAAGAATTGTTAACCTCTGCTGCAATCCTTTATATCTTCTTTAAAGCCTAAATCCCAGTTACATAAGTACAGGGACATAGTACAGTAGAGCTCCTCCCCACGGCAATATAACAGACACCAAGTGACCTATGAACAGCAGTCCTTTTGCATGCTATTAACATCGGAGTCAACCTTTATTGTGCATAGAAGTGGAGTTACAAATACTCAAGGTTTGTGCATTTTATAGATGCACGAGTCGAACCAGCTGACAGTTTAAGGCCAGGCCTCTTTACAACACAGAAATGATGAAACAGTGTTAGAACAACTGGCAGGTGTGCGGTTTCTTTCATCAGTTTCATCACGACTGGATGAGCAGTATGTGCTATTTATAGAGTAGATACACTGAAGTACATTGTGATAAGTGCATATTGTTGTGGGCTATTTTTTTATTTAAAATGTTTTAGCCTTGGTGATCTACTACGGAAGCCCTCAGCGGACATGCAACTACACATTTTGTTTTGATATATCAACGTGCAGTCTGACCTCAGAATTAAGGCTTCTGTTATCTACCTATGATGCATATACTGCAGTAGTAATTTTCTATCAGCATTTAGAAACTCTACATTGTGTATTATATTCCAGGGAGATTTGAAACATGTCATAAAATGGAGCAAAACAACTAAAAGTCAAACATTTCTAATACAGACAACCAAATCTCTCAGAGAGAAAACAAATCTGATAGAGAGGTGATGAATGTGTCATCTCATCGTTTTACTCTTACTGAGACCCTCTCTGATTCCTCTATGAAGATACAGAATTAGGCTGTAGAACAAGTGCTGAATGTTCTATTACATTGTTGTGTGGAAATGATCAGATCATCCAAACGTTAGTTAAATGATTTAAGGGTTACTGTCACAATCAAAGATGAATCACATCCTGTCATGATGGAATGTAACTGATCATGCAAACCCTGAAGTCTTACAAGATATTTCCCAAAAACTTTTTAGAATCAAATCCCGCAAAGAAGTTCAAAGAATTGGTGCCAATTACAAGCCATTGGATCCGATCGGGCTCAGAGAAAGATTAACATGTCACATTATGTCACCATTTTTTAAAAGCGTGATGCAGTAAAGTATCAATTTGAATGCTTTTCCCCCAGGAGTTCAGACGTTTCCCTCATTTACAATATTAAAGTATATTAGCAAACTCTCTCAAAGTTGCTGGAGTTTTGTGATCGATAACTGCAATGTGTGTGTGTGTGTGTGTGTGTGTGTGTGTGTGTGTATGAGTGACATCAGTATAAACTGACATATTGCAGGCTTTCAAATCTGCACTTTAAGCCTCTGATGATATTGTTTTGTTCCAATATTAAAATGTATTAGCAGACTCTTGCAAAGTTGCTGGAATTGTTCAGGCCTAATATCGGCAAGCTTACATAAGTTATTTCATGAGTCAGCTCATTTATTTGGTGCTTTACAGAAGTAAGCCAGTGGAAGTCTGAAACGCTATAAGAACACAATGAAAAGTCGATATGTATGTAGCTTCACTTTTTTTATGTATACGTATTCAGAGTACATAATTGGTTGATATACTATAACCTCAAATCACAATGGCACAGTCATTTAATTATTTGTCAGCAGACACCAAGGGAACAACCCAAACCTTAGCCTAATTGAATGATTTTATTAAATGAAGAGGACAAAAAAGTCCATCAGATTGCCAGGAAGGAAGTCTCCTCCTTTACCAGAGTAACTCGAGGACGTCAATCTTCATCAGTCACTGGTTATTTTTAACTGTCAGTGCAGCAAAGCATGGTTAGAAGAAAGAGCCATCACCATATCTAACACGCAGAAATGTCTCTTAATGAGAGGGATGCCCACAGTATTGACGATCAAAAGACACGTCTTCTGTTTCAGACAGCGTGGGCGTTGGCGGGGATTTCTCTCTCCGGTTTCCTTTGTGATCCGACTGATCAGAGCCCGCGCTTCATGTTTATGGATGAGATGGTTTGGAATCTAACTGTGATCGTGTCAGTGGACATATTGAAAACATGTCATTGTTTAAGGCTTGTGTAGGTTTCTCCTACACTGCAAAGAGAGTCCAAATGACGTTCCCAACAGCTTATGGTGCTTTCACACATGCACAAAACTCCCTAAAGCTTCCTGAAATTTTCAGAGGTTAGCTTCATGTCTGAACGCAAACAGGCTGCAGAATTATTCACTTCAACTTTCCCTGGACTTTTTCCAGCCAGCCTCCGAGTAAATGTTCTGTGGGAAGTTGGGGTGAGCTGATGTGAGAACGCTGCAGGAAATATTCAGGAAAAGTCACAGCGAGCGAGCTCTGTTGATATTGTGAATGTGTTGTACTACACCCAGCATTCAGACTTAGCAGCATTGCATCTGACTCTGTTGCTTCATCTTCCATTTCCGTGTGTTTTTTATTTTATTTTTACATCATGTCCTCCCTCCTGAGACCCCCTCCTCCTGTTGGACAAGGATAGTCTCCCTTTGTATGGTGCATGTTTTAACAAGCAAGTCGGGAAGATTTCAGGGGCAGTTCTAGAAATGTTCAGGGGTGCGTTATGCTAAAACAGCTTTAGATTGTGGTAAGAGGGTTTGCCTGAGAGTTTGGTTTGTTTGAGTGAGTTTACTGTTGTTTAAAGCCAGTTGACATTAAAGACTTTATATCTGTTTTTTCACACTTAAACATAATAGAAATCAAGTATATCCTCTGAAAATAACTCTGTGAGTCATGACTGTCTACAATGGGTGTAACACCCGAGTCCCACTGTCTGTGATGTTTTCAGAGTTTTCAGAGTCCTATCTTCAGTTTGTTTACATCGCCGGGACGGTCGGCTGACTCCTCCCCTCGTGTATAAAAGTTGTTTAATTGAGGGACTAGAGAAAAGAAGAATAACATACTGTACTCACTGCTTAACTGTGTTTCTAGATCACGCTCATTTCAGGTCAATTTACATGCAGTGTGAAGATTCGAGCATAATAAAGATCACTAGCATTAGCATGCTAACACAACAATGCAGCGTGAGTTGTTTTGGTTTCATGCTGGTGCTCAAGGGCGACATCTGCTGGATCAAAAAATAAAGCCTTTAAAAAAGATGCTGGGCTATGAAAACTAACTACAGAAATCTAACTCAAAGTGTTATTCCTTTACTTTAAAACCAGCACCTCTTCACAAGCTGAGCAGTCTAAGTTACAAAAAGTTTTGGCAGCAAAATATGTCTCTAATAGCAATGTTATACTTTTGTCTGATTTAAGTAATTCCTCTAAAAGTGCTTATTCGTGCCGATGTCAGGCTGAAATTGTTATTCTTAGCGTATGACAACATAACTGAAAGGATTGTTACTGAGATTGACTTATTTGTTTAAAGAGTATGTCGCTTATTTTGAAAAGAGAGCATATTTTATAACTTCTCTTTTCATACCTCATGGACCCCTTAAACAAATATAGGCTACAGATGGGCCTGCATTTTTGCCTTTTACACCAATAATGCATTGGGCCTGGACTTACAATTCCAACATCAAGGTCACACAACAACACAAACCATTTAAACAATTGAGACAGTTGAAGACAAGCAAGTCCTGTGTGCTGCAGGCTTTGAAGTGAGCGAAGAAACAGCTAAAAAAAAGGCATCTTTTCATAACCAAAAGGGGAGTTCAGTAGCCTGGCGCAGTTTTGGTAATTTGCGCCGAGATTTCTGCCTCTTAAAAGGAGGTTTTTCTTACCACTCTAACTTTTGCTAAAATGGTGGTTGGTGGATAAATGCTGGCCCTTTGTAATATAGCAATGAGTAAGGTCTTTTACCTGCTTTTTGTGAAGTGTCTCCAGACAACACTTGTTATGAATTGGCGCTATACAAATAAAGATTGATTGATTGATTGAGTAGGGATCCATAATGTTGACACTTGGAGTAACATTCCCAGCTTTGTATAAAGTGTAAAATAAAGGCTTTTCTATTGGTAAAACTTTGATTGGGTTCATTTTTTGTACATAGCAACCATTATGGTCTGAAGGAATACTGCAACCTTAAGCCATCTACTGGAGTAATACCAATTTTTTGTGCATGTTTTATTCTTTCAGACCATACAGTTTTGTGAATATAGTGTCCAGGGTTAAAACATCAGAGATTTACATTAAATAATAAGGTTACACGATGATAAGAAGATGAGTTCAAACAGTAGGACGACACATAAAAGCTGTCCTGAAAATCCACAGCAATTATTAGAGCTGAACAGAGTTAAAGTTAGTTTATATGTTTATCCTGCACTGAGATTTCAGAGATGTGTAAATGATCTGCATACAAATTAACTGAGAGCGTCAAAAAGTCAAAATCCTAACTTTGTATGTTTCAGAGAAGAGAAGCCAATCCAAGCAAGAACGGTTAATCTGGTTGGCCAGAAGAAACCTCCGCAGCAAAACGACGTCCGGTGAGTTCCATTTTTTACTCCAACAACAACTCGAATATCACCTTGTAGAATTCTAAACTGTCCCAAAATTAGTTGAAGAGAGTGATTTAATAGTTGCTATTGCGTCACTTTATCGTCATTGCACCCCGCTGGCAAAACAACCTCCTTTTATTAGCCTGCAGTCTGTCCTTTTTTCTCACATTCATGTTCGGTTGTGAAATTTATTCTACACCTTGGATGAGTCACAGCATAAAAAAGATAAATTTGTGTTCTGGTGGCTGTCTTTTTCACAAGTGTGACTCAGGCCATTATTATGCAATTTGTATGATACTGTAAGTGGAGCGGCACTGCTCAGGGACCTTGTTCAGACCGCCGGATTTGTTGTCAGGAAATATTTGAGTGAAAATATACGTCAGGAATCCACACACTCCTTAACCTGAGCGACTTCATATCCTGTTAAACACACACAAAGATACAGTTGCTGTCTGTCATCTCTCAGACAGTAACAATATAGCTTCTAGTGTTGGAGTGTTGGAGATGGACATAATCAGTGTGAGAAGTCCAGTCCAGGTCCTGTTGAGTCATTAGAAACTAAAGATGTTGTGGCTTCTTTTAGAAAGGCTTCTCAGTCTGGATTCAGGTGCTCTGTCTGTCTCTCACTTTTCTCAGCTGTCATGTCAAGCTGCTAATCAGGAGGAAAGGCTTCCATCATGTGGATGGTTTTGTGCAGGTGGTTTTTGTTGACTGTTTGCAACTACAACAAGAGATGCACCATAACTCGGCATTTCAATATGGCACCTAGTTGGAATTCCTTGGATTTTGCAGTCGGCTTTAGGTAGAAACTTGACGGTTTTTAAATTCATAGGCTAGTTTGGAGGTAACGTGGTGTAGTGAAGCTAATAAACACATGAGGTGCAGGTTTTTTCATGGATGCATTGACCACTTTTGGTGCACATTACATCCGTTCCCCATCCCAAATCATCAACTTCTGTCACATTGCATCTCATAAATACGCACAAGGAACCCTTCAGCATGTCAATGAAAAGTCCATGACGCTTTCATCTGATCCCAACATTTCCCGATCAGGTGTGGTCAGGTCCGACCGGTCAGGTGATGTTGTTTTGGTGTTGTTCACTTAGGGCGCACTCACACTACGTTGCCCCGTATTGTGCTGGAGTACAACTGCACCCCCTCCCCATTCCCCCGCTGGCCTGCACCCACATTGCTCCAGGACAAACCGGGTCTTAGCACGGTTACCTCTTGTACATAACATGTAACATTTACGTGATCATGAAACGTGTACAAGACAGATAGACTCCCCCCAAAAAAGGCAAGCTCGGTGGAGTCGGCGTCCGCACATCAGAGAACAACACAGAGAACATGACTGCAACTTTACTGACTTTGTGGCCTATTTTGAGTCATTTTGGTCAGATACAGCCATAACACTCCGGGGTTTCTCGATAATGGAAGGCAGGGATCGATTCTACGTCATGTCCACATGTCCGTCTTTGTGCTCGTACATGAGCAATTGAGTGTACCATGCCAAGCCCCACCTCTTTCATCGGTGCCAGGGACAAGGAAGTGTACCGGGAGCTTGGAATGCAGCACTCACACGAGTCACTTTGGGGGTCAAAAGGTCTTGGCCATGGTACAGATTGTATAGTGTGAGTGCACACTTATTGGGTTTTCTATTGCTCCATTGATGAGCTAAAGTAAGCTAAAACCAAACAGAGGACATAAGAGATGATTCAGCTAAAACGCAGTTCAGGTTAGTTATTTTAATGATGGCACACTCACAGAGAAAGGCCCCACATACCGGATATTTAACTATGATACAATACTCATAAAACTCAAACGATATTGTTATCAGTTTCCATACCATGGGTCCAAAAACAGATGTATGAGGCTCCAAATATTGGGTAACTTCTGGTTTTTATTATAAAATTGCTGGCAAACTTCTGCAACACTGTCAACATTTCAAAAATGTTTTTGTGCAATTAAGACAGTTTACTTTCTTTCCCGTGCTGCAAAGTTTGGTTAAAAATACGACTGAAGATTTGTAGTTTTCTTAAAAGCTTTGGTATTCTTTGGCATTATCAATCATTAAAATAATAGAGAATGAATTGTTTTAAAAAGTGGTATTTAAATATATTGTACTTTTTTGTCAACCTTTCCTTACCTCTGAAGTTTTGAATCTGGGTCTTTATCCCTCTTTGTATTGGACTGCAATGGTTGCAATTATTGAAGCCAAATACTTTTTTACAGAGGAGGGGTTAGGCAGAAGTTAAAGGGGACAAGTCATCTGAGCCATCTCAGCCTTTGGATATGCACCTGTTCCTTTATTGGATAACACCGAACAGATCAAAATTGACGTTCAAAGAAGTCATTTACAAGTTATAAGCAGACATCCAAATACAGAGGTTAGCCTATTGATTTTTATGTTTTACTTATTATAAGAGCGAAGACATAAGGACTGATCAAACTGATAGATACTTCACATTAGCATCTCTTATCTCATCTCAGTTAAAAGAAGTAAATGGTGAGAATCACACCAAACACAAAAACTGTTGTTTCTGTATCGATTTAAATATTTTAATACTGATGATCATAACATTTTGAAAGAGCCTTATCAAAGAGATGTCGATGATTTTCACTGACTGCAAATTCACACTAGAAAACAAATGTCCAGCTTCACTTGTGCTATCCTTTTACTTTTAAATGTCCCTTTAGGTCATGTAACGCTTCTAACCAACATCATATTGAAAATGGAGGTGGTTAGAGGTCACAGTAACTTCTTCGGGAATAACGCCTCCCATCTTGTTTCCAATTAGCAGGGATTGGAAGCTTGATGGGTTGGTCAGGAGTGATTCTTTAAAAATGCTGAGTGATCATCTTTCCCTCACCACTGTGTGTGTGGATGTGTGTGTGTGTGTGTGTGTGTGTGTGTGTGTGTGTGTGTGTGTGTGTGTGTGTGTGTGTGTGTGTGTGTGTGTGTGTGTGGATGTGTGTGTGTGTGTGGATGTGTGTGAAGCCTGGTTATTTGATCAGCCGCTGGTTAATACAGACTTGAATTTGCGAACGCGTTACTTGAAACAGACTCTGTCGTTTCCACTCTTTGATGTTATATGAGCATCTCGGTCCCCGCTGGCTTATTTGCCCGTTGAAATGCGAATTTTCATGCGTCCTGTTCGTTTGCGGTGACTTCTGCAGCCAGTAATGTCTTTTTTTTCCTGCCACACAATGATCAAAGGATAAAGCTTGTTTATGCTCTATCTGTGTGCATTGTATGTGTGTGTGTGTGTGTGTGTGTGTGTGTGTGTGTGTGTGTGTGTGTGTGTGTGTGTGTGTGTGTGTGTGTGTTGGATCAGAGAGTGAGTGGGATTACAGAGTAAGTCAGCTGGAGCACATCTGCTTCTCTGAGGAATCCCACAATATGGCCTCCATTTATAACATTATACAATCTGTGCCTTTCTGGTCAGTATTCCCCGGATTATTCTACAGACATTACAATCAGTATTCCAACATTATTCCCTCTGTCTCGTTGATCTGGTGCTGATAAACCTTGTCTAAGTGATTTTAATGTAAGACACACAAATCATGTACTTTTTTTTCTTTAAGGCTGATCTATGTTTTGATATGTTGGCCAGTGATTGTTAGGTAGCCTAGCATTCAGATCAAAAATTCACACATGATTTTGACATGATACAGTAACTATCTGTTGGAGGTTTGTGCAGCTGCCAAATCAATTTTTCTTCCAGCACCAGTGCGGTTATTTGATGTGGACGGTGGCCTGTAAGATTTGAGAAGACTATGCCAGTTTAAATTTCTAGTCCCCTCCTTCACTTGAGTTCAAAATGTACAATAGAAAAAAATGGCACCCTAGCATAGAAACGCATGTGGAATCAGTGGTGGCTTGTGCGTTGTTCTCCTGGGGGGACACAATGTCTCACAGATAAACCTGGATGTACATCTACGATTGTTAGCTTGACGCTGACACATAATGGAAAAGCCATACAAGGACTAATAATAATTAACAATCTGTAATTTCAGTAAAATAGATAATGTTCAAATTAAGAGATGCTGAGTATGTTTCTTAGCATCTCTAGAGTCTCTGAGTCTTGAGCTTTCATTGGTCAAAGTCGTTGTTCTGTGAGCTGAATGAATTTGGTCCAAATGACCAGCAGATCAAGGGGGCGTGCCTTGACAGCTGTCACTCATTAATATACCACCAGACTTTCACAGTGTGTCTTGCAAAGCCTAATATGGCCATTATAATACATTTGTGGTTAATTGCGCAGCCTAAAGTTTGCAGTAGAACAAGCTACTTAGCTTCTTTTATATTTTTATTGATTCAAGATTCAAGATATTGAACTTCACCCTGAATTTAGGTTCAAATGTATGAAAAACTAAAAATGATCATGCCAGCTACACATAGATAAAAATGATGGTAGTAGCTGTCAGATTTTGACTGAAGCCTCACCCTCATGAGAAACCTCAGTCACAGCCAGCATCACTTTAAAAAACAAAGATGTCAACCTTGTTTATTTATTTCAAGGTTGACATCTGTGTTTGGTTTAATTTAAACCAGGTTTTTATCTTGGGATTCTGTTGGCTATGCTCAGCTCATAGCATCTGCAAGTTTAGTTTTAAGCTTGAAGAATTGGTGTAGGGGATTAAAAGATCTGAAATATACAATTTAAAAGTTTAGGATTTAAATGTTTCTTAAAATCTGTTTGTAATTTGGTCGGCAGTAAATGCAGTTTAGTTAAATTTGGTGTTTCAAGTGCAGAGCCCGTTCAGAATGTGCTTGTTTGAATTGTGTTTGGTGAGAACGTGGCTCTATGTAGTCAACTGGTTGGTATGGTGGCTTACACCTGGTATTGCTAACCTTAAATAACAGCAAATGTTAATCACACAAAATGACATTACATGCCTAGTACGGAGTTAGCTTACTTAGTTGCACAACATTGGCCGAGTGATTTCATGCGACTTTTGTTAACGACGGTTAGCTTACATGTAAT